CTTCACAAACTCCCACCATCCATTCAGGCTTGTCATTCACTCTAACTTCCCAATAATGTCTGCCTGTACTGAAGGCTTCAGATCCCAGGATCACTGGGGAAATGCTAAATCTCTTCAGAGTAGGAAGAAGTATTTTCTTTCCAGTCACAAATGTCACAGACGTTTTGTCCTCAGATACGACCAGATTAGGATGTGCTGTTTCAGGATCCAGAGTCACCTGTCTTTGAAAGTTCTTTTTAATTTCCTCCAGAGGTGGGTATATGTACCAGGAGTTCACCGGAAAGCTGAATTCCTCCCTTAACTGGATGGAAGAGAGCGACGGGGGCGTATGATCTTCACACATGACATAGATCCTCTTGAGGCCTGTCAGCAATTTCACATCATCCAACATCACGCTCATATCGACCGCTTCCTTGCCGACACTAGCGTAGGTAGCACTGTATTCTAAAACTGCCATTTGATCTGTAAGAATATTTTGTTGAATATGATTCAAATCATCAATTAACCTGAAGAGATAGACTTGTTGGTTCCAGTCGAAAAATTGGTTCACAATTTCATATTCAAAACAAAATTTTTGCCTCGCCTTTGCAATCATCCCACTCAGCTGTTCTTCAGATTTCTTTTGCGTGACACAGAGACTTTCATAGAGTTTCAATTGCTTCTTCAGGAACAGAGAGTAACCTCTGAGCCTTCTCCTTTGATTAGAAGTAACATCCTCTAGAGGCTTCACGTTGTGACCCCAGTGGTCTTTGTTACAGATGTGACATAATACACTTCGGTCATCCTCACAGAAATGGTTCAGCTCCTGACTGTGTTCCTTGCACTGAGGCATCTCTCTCTCCCTCTTGCTTGTTTTGTAGTGTAACTTGGCTTCATGCAATATATTTCTCAGTTGACTGTTGTTCCTTAACATTTTATCCTGGTGTGGCTGTCTGCACGATGGGCAACGGAACGTGGCATCCTGATACTGCCAGGCAAGATCGATGCAGGACCGACAGAAGTTGTGATCACACTTTACAGAGAAAGGGTCTCTCAGGTAGTCTCGACAGACTGGGCATTGGGCCTCTGCCGGCACTGTCGCCATTGTTGTCAGTCCTTAGGACCGTTGAGATCTTCAAGTGTTCCTCTTTGATGTTATGAAGTCACTGATCCTATCCTACAGAAGAATGAAGAACAACAGTGGATTCACTCACAACAGCTAGGGATCTAGTCCTTTGGCAACTCCCAGGATGTGATTCTTCATTAAAAAGTTGTCCTACTTAGAAACCAGCCTGGCACTCAAGAGGATAATTTGTTCCTGTAGATGAGAAAAATGTACAGCATTAATGCAGGAAGTTCAAAACACAAAAACAGGATTGTTTGTCTCCAACCCATTTGACAAAGTCATGAAAGGCAGGGACAGTGGGGAATCAGTGTAACCTACAATAGTCTAAGTCTGCACTCCAAGGAACACACAGGCGAAGGCTATGCTATACTGGTTTGTTGTTGAGTACCTTCCAGGTGAAACTGACTCATATTTGACCTTCTAGTGCGTTTTCAGAGGCAGTAGATTGCACAGGAGGAGATGCCTATCTTTTGCCTACCAAGCAGCTGGTGGATTTAAGCCATCTACCTCTGGATTGGCAGCACAATTCCTTACCATTAGCGACTAGAGCTTGATGAAGTGCTGTCCCTATCGTACCCTCATCAAGTTGCCTTCTGTCACCCCCATTTTAATGGAAGTTCTCCTAACCATTTTTCCAAACCCATGGTTAAGCACAACCTTCTAACATTTTGAGAATTCTTAAATTGCTGTCGTGTTTCATACTTTGGGCACATTGATTGTTGTTGTGGTGTGCTGTCAAGTTTTAACTGACTCATAGCTGATCCTCTGCGGGATTTTCACAGGCAGTTAATTCCAGGAGAGGTTATTGTCTATCCTTCACCCTTGGAGCAGCTTAAAGCCTCAAATCACTTGCCTTCAGGATTGCAAGGCAACTTATTGCCACTAGGCCATCTGAGCTCCCCTGGATATGTTGCTGGGAGAAGATATTCCGTGGAGAGGGACACTATGCTTGGAAAGGTGGAGAGGTGGTGAATCAACTTTTCTTATAATTATACTTTTTTGACTGACTTACGCCACTAAACAGAACTAATTTCGTTTCATTTCATCCATGACAGGCATTTGTTCTCGTTGTTGCCATGTGCCGTCAAGTTGCCTGTGACTCACAGATACCCTATGTATAAAAGCTCCAAAGCTGCCTTGTCCGCAGCCAGTCTAATTGACTCCAACACACTGCCCTAGTTACAGTATCAATCCATCTCACGTGGGTTCTTCCTAACCTGTGTTGTCTTTCCACCTTTCCTTTGCCAAGGATTGCTCTCTTGATCCCATGCCCAAAGTATGAGAGACAGAGTATCACAATCCTAGCCACCAAGGGGAAACTTTGTTTCCTCGTCTCTAAGAAAGACCTATTTGTTTTCTTGGTTGTCCATGGTATGCTAAAGCTCTTCTCCAAAACCAAAACTTAGAGGCAAAGATTCTGTTTCTGTCATCCTTAAATCATTGTACAGCTCTCTGATGCATAACCTGTAATTGCAAAGACCACGGATTGGATCAGGCACGCCTCAGTCTCTAGACAGACATTGCTGCTTCTCAGTGCTCTGAAAAAGTTCCTGAAGGCAGATTTACTTAACACATTTCATCTTTTGATTTCTTAATCCTGGTGCCATAAGTGTTGATTGTGGAGCTGAGCAAGCTGTAACTCTTAACAACCTCAGTCTCTTCTTTATATATCATGGTGCTGCCAATTGGCCCAGTGGTGAGAATCTTTGTCTTCTTAATATTGAGCTTCAGTCTATATTGAAGACTTCTGCAGCAAATGCTTCAGCTCTTCCTCAGTTTCAGCACGCAAAGCTGTGTCATTTGAATAACGTAAATTGTTGATGAGGCTGCAGCCATGCTGATGCTACATTCCTTCCCATAAAGCCCTGTCTCGTTCATGGTCTGTTCTGCATGTAGTTTGAGATAATACAGAGACAGAATGCATCCCTGACTCACGCCCTACTTGATTTTGAACCATGCAGTATTTCCCTGCTCTGTTCTATGACTTTACTTGAACTTACTACTAAACTGTTCACCTCCATGATGGATAGACAAATCCATATTCCTAGTTCTCCATTAAAAACAAACAACGATTCTGGGTTTTGGTCTATGTAAGCATGACATATTGTGAGAATTAAGTAAGATCATGTCTTTAAAATGCTTATTCCACATTAATATCCTACCTCATGGTTTTTAGCCTTCAGCCCACTCACTCAAGCAAAAAAATCATTAAGAGACTTTGGAAACTAATTGATTGCACTCTTCTTAAACACAAATATTCAGCCATCCATTTTCTATCTCCATTGATCTATCTATCTATCTTCACACATTTTACTATCCTTTAAAAAATTATACTGGTTTGTTTACAAAGTTCATATATATTATTTTACATGCGGGATATTTCCCATTTCCTTCACTTATACATCCCCCACTGATCAAATCATGCGACCCTATAAATACTAATGAATGAAGTCTAGATGATCTGTGGGAAGATATCAATAATATCATCCATGAATAATACAAAAGAAAGTGATAAAGAAGAAAGAAATTAAAGATGAAAATGGTTGTCAGATGAGACCCTGAATATGGCAATAGAGCACCAAGAAGCCAAAGCAAAGGGAAGAAATGAGTAAGTTCAGAGGCTGAACACACAGGAGGAGATGCCCATCTTTTGCCTACAAAGTAGCTGGTGGATTTCAGCCATCTACCTCTGGAATGAAACAAACTGTGGCTGATTCTGAAAGAATGGGAATCCTAGAACACTTGATCATTCTAATGTGAAACCTATACTTGGACCAGGAGGCAGTCGTCAGAAGAGAGCAAGTGAATACTGCATGGTTCAAAATTGGGAAGGGCGTATGCAAGGGATGCATCCTATCTCCATACCTTTTCAACCTATATGCAGAACAGATTATCCAGGAGGCTGGGCTCTATGAGGAGAAATGTGGGGTCAAGTTT